GAGTCTCCCATCCTTCCCGATGCCCTTGTGACTGAGCGTACCTGATCCCATGGGATCTCTGTTGGCTTCACTGCACTCCTTTGCTTTAGGGAAAACCATCGAGGAAGAGGGTGCGGGGGGCACCAAAGGCGCAGTGTGTGTTGCAGGAGCGGCCCGGGAGGAGTGGATTAACTACAGGGCTTCCCACAGAGCCTGTGCGCCGCGGCAGTGTAATTTCGTTGAGTGTGCGCTAAGCCACCGCTTCATCAGATGAACTTTCAGCAGGGGAGAGTGCACGAACTCGCCAAACTGTGCCACAAGATACTGCTGGAAGATAGTGAAGGTATTTGGGCAACGCAATAAACGGGTTTTGTGTCTTAATTCAGAAGCACCGGTGTTGACGTCTGACAAGTGGCTTCACTGAGGTCGCCCTTCCTTGTAACGCAGCGGTGCCTTGGGAGTCCAGCCCGGCTGCAGCAAGGTGGGAGATAAGTCAGCTAACAGCTGGGCCGTCAGAATTCTGTTTTGGGGAGATTAAAACAGTTCAGGGCTAGAGAGTACAAAACGAACCTTACAAGAGTCGGGCGTTGAGGAACTGTCGCTCTAGCGAGCAAGTGACGGCTGGCGTGCCCAGAGCAGCAGTGAGACCAGTCGGGAGCTGGAGGTTATCGGTGTTGTGGGACTGGTTTTGTGAGACAGCTGGACCTGTCTCTCCCTCATCACACCTTTCCTTCTTCATAGTTTCTGCACGCTTCCATTCTGCACGCCATGGGCTGTGCAGAGGTAGAGGCCTCGCCCGGCAGTTAGGAACAGAGGAGAGGGAAGGGGTTAAGCGTGGGGTCCCAGCAGCAGGTTTGGAGGAGGAGGAGCTGCTACGGCTCAGCCAAGGACAGTGGTGGCCAGACTTCCTGCTTCCCAGGGCCATTCCAATGAGGATGAGCCACACGTGCAGAGGCTGAATGGAGTCTGGTGGTGGGAAGGTTTTCATTCCAGAGCTGTGGCAGTTCCTCAGAACTGGAACTTGGTGTGTTCAGCCCCGGCACTGTCTGCACGGGCTGTTGCAGGGGGACGGCTCTAGCAGGGACTCTGCATGCGGCGGTGTTGCGCTGCCTTGAAACCCAGCTCCCCGCATGCTTTGGTCTCTGCATTTCCCCTTCTCCCTGAAAAAGAAGTTTAGAAACATCTTTTCCTAGGCCAGTGCTCTCAACGTGGGGTGTTTGTCTTGCCCGCAGCAGTGGAAGGCTCGTCCAAGCCTTCCGTGGCAAAACGTGGAGGGTGGCAGAGGCTGCGGCACGAGGCGTCGAGTCCCGGCTTCTCCGTGGCCAGTGCTCGCGGACGTTGATGATTCTCTCAAGAACTGAGGTCGTTTCCTTCCTGAGCCCTGGCTGGCTTGGTCCTCAGGCCAGAGGCCACGTCTCAAGTTGCTGGCGTGTTCCCCATCTTCACGGAACGCTTACGGCCTGGACACAGTTTTGGGGTTTGAAATAGCCCTTCGGAAATCCGCATCCTGGGGCTGGGCGCTTCACCCCTGCCATACCGCAAGTGTTGGGGGTGCTGCGTGTGTGCCTCCTCCCTCTCCCTAGAGCTTTTCCGTTTGGATTAGTGTCACGGCAATACAAAGGGTTTGAAGGTTGTGATCCCACAGGCGGATGAACACCGTGCCATCAGGTCATAGAGGCACTTGGAAATTCCGCCCTTAATCTCCGTATGTGCCGGGTCGTGGTTGCTCCTGGATGAACCCGCCTCGCCCGAAGTGGGGGATCAGGTTTTTTCTCACTTTTTACCTGTTCCCAGCAAATCTAGGTCAGGGTGAGCACATAATCAAGTCGGGATGGGTGTGAATCCCTTGGGTTTAGGACTCGTGTCTCAGCAGCTGCGGAGCGTGGCGAGGCCACAGGCCCAGAGCAGCACCGTGTCGGACTCGGGCTGGTGCGGAGGGAATCTGCCACGCGCGGGAAAGGCTTGGAAAGTCACCCCGGAGGACTGGTTCTTCAGAACCAGCTGGGAAGCCCCGTGATGCTTTCACTGAGAGGAGGAATGACGGTGACGGGCGACGCGGTTTCTGGTCTCGCGCGCATCCGTTTCCTCTGTGTTCGTCTCCCTCGTCCGTTCCATTGGGCGGTGCCATCCCTTCAGGCTCTATAGCCCATTAGTGTATCGGGAATTGCCGGACTTGACCCAAAGTTTAGCCCAAGAAGCTGGCACTTGGCCCTGTTACCTTGGCATCTCCCTCGTGTTTCCTTTCCTAACTTCTGAGGGTCTCGGGGGGTGGGGTGGGGGTGCAGTTCCCTTGTGCCAATTCAGCCAGCTGTTCTAGGAAGGGAGGGCCTGGCTGGCTGCGGGGGGGAGCAGGGGTTGAGCAAACGCTGCACTTCACTAGTGGTTTGGCACCTCAGGCCGTTCCTCACAGGCTGCTTCGTCCCTCTCCGCTTAAGGTCCCTCTCATAGAAGGGAGGAGCGAGGTTTCCCTCCGTCCTCCTGCACCTGCAGTTTTGGGCTTGACAGAGGCCCCTCGGTACACAGCTCCCTTCTCAACCCCTCCCGTCGGACTCCGGCTGTGAAATGACGTCTGCTCTGCTTTCCCTTGCAGCAGTATCAGAACCAGTTATTTCAGCAGACAGAAGACGTGGATGGGAAAACTGAAATCATCATCAAGGTAAGCCGGGGACGGCTCGTGGGTTGGAGAGTCCTTGGGCCTTTGTCTTCTTCCATTTAAAAGTGCAGGTTTTTATCGCTGCTACGCATGTCGTGTTCCGTGTCTGGCCTTGCCTTCCAGTGGAGACCGGAGCATTCCCTAGCACAGTGTGTCCCCTTTCCCAAACCTTCCAGGTTTCCACAATCCTTTATCGTCTCCTGGCCAGGTTACTCACAGAATCATGGAATCACAGACCAGTTTGGATGGGAAGGGACCTCAAAGCCCCCCCAGCCCCACCCCCTGCCATGGGCAGGGACCTCTTCCATAGCCCCGGGTGCTCCAAGCCTCATCCCGCCTGGCCTTGGACACTCCCAGGGATGGGGCATCCACAGCTTCTCTGGGCAACCTGTCACCCTCTGCAGGAAGAATTCCTTCCTTATGTCCCATCTCAACCTCCCTCTTTCTGTTCAAACCTGTCACTCCCTGCCCTTGGAAAAAGTCCCCCCCAGCTTTCTTGTAGCCCCCCAGGCACTGGAAGGGGCTCAGGTCTCCCTGGAGCTTCCCTTCTCCAGGCTGAAGGGAATCAGCCTGGGGAATCAGTCTCACTCACCTCAGAGTAGTGGTGTTGCCGCTCTGACGGATGGCTGAGGTGTGATAGGAAGGAAACTCTCTTCCTTTCTGTCCTGTTTTCAAACTGCACGGTTCCCTCTGGCTTTTGGAATGGGAGAATTGGAGCTGAGTTGGATCAGGACCCTGACTGAAGCCCTCAGAGCTCTGTGTTACTCACTAGTCCCACCCCTCCGGGTACAACTGCCCACACGGTGCCTTTTCTGACACCGCAGAGGTTGTGACCAGTCACATGTCCCCTGGGACGGGCTTTGCAAGGCCCAAAGAGCAGCTTTAAGCCCCTTTTTGGTGCCCTGAATCCCTGGCTGCACATGGGGAATACAGAAGCAGTCCAGTCTCAGCAGGCGGCAGCGGGGGTACAGGGCGAGCGCAGGGGGTGTGAGGGACGCGGCGTGACGCGGGGCCGGGTGTGCTCACAGAGAGGAGGAGCTGGTGGCATGACACGCTCCCGTCA